TCTAAAATAAAAATAATGGTACCGTATAGGGACATCTCTAAAATAAAAATAATGGTACCGTATAGGGACATCTCTAAAATAAAAATAATGGTACCATATAGGATATCACCTTGTTTCACTGTCTGACTTACAGTTAAAAGGTGTATCTAAACAGTGTGTACATAGATTGACCCCTATGAAGTTGTCTTATCTATAGATCAAAACCAGAAAATACTGGCAATATTTTATTGCTTCAAAGCTCTAAAAAGAAAAACCCTGCTTTGCATTAATGCTGCCATTATTCTGAATGAACTTAAGTCAAATACTTGTAAGTGAAGGGATGGTTCTCTGAGCCTCAATGGACATCGACTTCCACTTTTTTCTTTCTTTTTAAATCTTACATTCTATAACTTTTCATATCACATTATTTTATATGTGATAAATATATTTTCTATTTTGTCACATTATATCACCATTCCAAGCTTTTGATAATTAGAATGGCCCTATGTTCAATTGGAATCTGTCATTATTATTTCCTCAGTAACAATTACGGTGTCAGGGACAGAATGAAAAAAGGAAGCAGAGGGTAACATTGCTTCAATAAAAGGGCCAAAGAAAGTTTTTGCTTACTAAGGAAAAGACACACACTTCCCCAGAGGAGAAAAGGGGCCTTTCCTCTGCGATGGAGTTTGGATTCTGGTCTGGGTAGTGGTCCCTAAGCTGAGAGGCTCTGGTGACTTCTTGGTGATTAGTAGGTACTACATGTTCTTTCTACCACGCCCTTGCTATGGTGAACAGAGACACCCTTTGTTTTTAGGCCTTTTCATTACTCTAGACCATTTTAGTCTTCTTTTCACCCCATTCCCATGTGATCCTGTACATATGTGAGGCTTTATTTTACCAACTATCCTTCTTAAGTTCTTTCTTAGCCCAGAGCAATTCTGTGTGACATCTTCTGATTCTGCAGTTTGGTGTCCCAAAGTGTGGTTCTTAAACCATTGACAGTACCTGGCATAATTTTAGGTAATAATAGTGATAAACAGTGTTTAAGAATTTTAATAGTTACGTATATATTGTATATATATTAGGAAATAATTACTGGATTTGCAGTTGTGTGTATATATATATCTTATAATGATGCTTAGGTTAAAAAACAAGTTATTACTGGGTGGCGCCTGTGGCTCAAGGAGTAGGGTGCCAGACCCATATACCGGAAGTGGCAGGTTCAAACCTGGCCCCAGCCAGAAAACCCCAGA